ACAGCGCTCGAACTATCGAACAATGACGATGTTGAAATGATGGCTGATTCTCAAAGTAATTATTCAGACGCTGATATTGAGATGTATGCAAAGTTTTTTCAAGTGTATGTTGTTCGGGGTTAGTCATTAAGCTCCCACTATGGGCTGACTGAACAAGTTGACAGCCCGACTACAGTAATGTGTAATAATTTTAATGCCATAATGGGAAATCAGCATCATGGTGCCGTCACATCAACTTCAATGGGGAGACATTTATCCGTAACTCCTTACGAGATGTGCCAAGGTGGATCTACGAACAATTCGTATGGCAATATCGTGTCCAGTTCAAGGGGAATACATTTATCTGCAAATTTTTTTGACCTTAATATGGAGATGATATCGACGCAACAATTTGTGCAGTTTTCATTTGACATGATGGCTTCAAGCTTCAGGGGGAGGTATTCAACTGCGAGCTTTTTCGATCTCAATGTCGATATGCCTTCTAGTTCAAGGGGAAGACGTGCAAGTAGTAGGTTCTTCGACCTAAATGTGGAGAGCATGGAGGAACCATCATCTATACCAGAAGAACCACTTCGTGAGCCTGGTGCGGATGATGCTGAGACTTGACTATTCATTCAGCTAGAATCACCGCAATTCAACTCCGATGATGATGTAGATGAAGTTCCCTCAAATGTGGCACAAGCTGACCTTCCAGCACACATGTATGAAGCTGATTATGGTGTAATGTACGAGCCAGAATTTGCGGATATGCCTCATCTTAGTAACTATGGATATTACTTATCAATAAATAATGGTGGATTATCTTTAGGCATAGAGTTTCCAAGCAAAGAAGAAACGATGATGGCTATAAAAAATTACAATATCAGTAATGTCTGTTTAATTGAGAGTCGACCGGTCCACGACAGAAAAATATGTATGCTAATATGCCCGACAAGACAAGACAGAAGATGTGGGCATTGTAGAAACCCATGACATACTAGAAAAATATGTCCACTTCTGCTGTCATCAAGTAACAATTGATGAGGAACTGATGTAGTTGTTTATCAAATAAGAATTCTTGTACTTTAATTTGCATTTACTTCAAGTTAATGTTATTTGATAACCACTGATGAAGATTAAAAAAACGATACAATAATATGAGATTGGACGTTGGCGTTATACGTGATTATAATAAAATATATAATAAGTGACAAACTAAGAAAAGTTATCGAACACAATTATTAAATTTCATCAAACTAATAACAATTTGGTATTTGAATATAATTTTAAATACAACAAACTTACAATAAGTATTAAATGGTAAATGATAAACAAATTACAATAATTGATATTAAATGGTAATAAACAAAATTAACCAAAATACATTAACAAAAAGTCCAACAAATTTAACAAAAAAAAATTAAAATAAATCCAATCAAATTAATGAAATAAAGTAAGTATTAAATGATAAATAATAAAAAAATTACAATAAAAAAGTCCAATAGACAACTAAATACAAATATAGTAAAAAACAAATCTATCGATGCCTGCGACGCGAATGTGTTTCGCATGGTGATGGCTGTCGGTCTCAAGGAGGATTTATTCGTATCACTAGTTGTGACTCATCGCTGTCATCACCATCATCGTCGTCGTTGTCGTAAGCAGCTACATTAGGTTGATGAGGAGTTGATAACGATGAAGCACCTCCATAGAATAAGGACCCTGGAGGTGTATGACTGACTATCCCACCGACCTGCGAAAATTAGGAAAATTCATAAAACCCAGACATCGCTGAGTGTGAAAACTGTACAGGAGGTGTCCGTGTTGCGGCCATGGGTGATGAGGCTGAATCTGCCAAAATGTGGGCATATGAACCCCAAGTCGGATTTGCAAACATAGACCCATAATATCCTCCAGGAGGGGTCATAAAACTCTATGACAGTGGCGGCGGCGGGGTCATAAAACTAGGTGATGGTGGCGGCAGCAGTATCGGGTAAGGGAATGGCGGTGGTGACATCACATATGGTTGCAGTATGTAAGTCGTTGTAGATGATAACTGTTGTGAAGGTCCTGCTGGTGCAGTTGAGGATGAACCGGAAGCACCTACTATCCGTCCACGAGTCGGGGGACGATGGTGCTTTGTCGGTGAACGTCTCTGTCGACGTCACTGAAAGGTATGCCCTCGTGCATCCTCGAAAAGCAGAAGCAGTTTCCCGTTACTGTTGAACCACTCATAATAACCGTCAGCAACCATCAAGAGGTCAATAAAAATAGGCTCTCTATGGGGAAGAAGCCGATGTCGATCCTCCCACAACACGACCCACTCATGATGCCTCACCAGCCAATATGTATCGGTTTTGCAGCGTCTATCTGTGCTATGAAACTTGTCCATATTGCGAGGTTCTTCCAGAATTGGTTGAAAACAATCAAATTTCCGGAGCACACGATCAGTGGAGTGCCACTCTACGATCGCATAATTGATCAAATAGACCATCGCCATCCAAACATCTGATGGGCCCCTCAACTCAGGTGGGATCACCATCCTCACATCATCATTAGAATATGACACCCATTCAAGCTAAAACAAATATATATAATTTTTATCAAAATAATAATCTAATTATATAACTATAATCTAAAATCGATTTTTAAACATTAAAATGCATACTTGTGTGCCAGCCTTCTGATCGATTAGTACCCTAATTTTTTCTAAATCATCAGGTAGCTCCTGATGATTTTTCCTATCAGTATACCACCTATTCAATGATTTTTTTATTATATACTGTATAAAATGATTAATATACAAAATCAGTTTTATAATTACCTCAATAGTAGCGGAAATACGGATGAGTTCTTGACAACGAGACATAAAAAGGGCAATCGATACCATGCCCAAGACTGTAGCAGCATGAGACATCCGCCGATAGCATTTTTCATGTAGTCAGTGGCTCAACACATCTCCCTGTACAGGAAAGCCAAAACTGTCGAGTCCCAACTGAGTGATCCGACCAGATGAAAGTCGCCAAGATGTCGCAACCACATACAATGAACTTGGTTGCGCGATTTGTCCAGCATCAACAACCCTCCTATCAGCTGCAGTATGCATGCCCGTGCATACATTTTAACTTCATCATCAGAGACGCCCTTGCTCAACTCCCGAAAATTGGCATCTAACCAATTTAACGGTATCCGACCACCGTTAAAACTTTCCGGGACACGTCCTAGATACTCCCGGCATAAAGCAGTCCATGAATCGTGTGCCATCCCCGATATCACATCTCCATCCACCGGAAGCCCCAGGTGCATAGAAACATCCTCAAGTGTAATCGTGCACTCTCTGCACGAAAGATGAAATGTGTGGGTCTCCGGCCTCCACTGCTCCACTAAGGCAGCAATAAGGTCTGGTTCTATCTTACAGTGACCCTCATATCTACTTATGTGACCGAATCCAACCTCTACTAAATATGACAAGACACAACTAGGTATCACTAACTTAATGTTCCTAATAAAAGAATCTAATACACGGTCCATCTCCTAAAATTAAATAATTACAAAAATTAATTTTTAAACTAATAATCATACATTAAATAAATAAATAAATTATTACTAATAATTTAAATTAAATTAAAACATTAAAATGTTTCCGTATCAGCAAAATGTCGCGATATATGATTTTCATCCAAGCGAAGTAGACCGCCTTCCATTTTATATCTGCAAAAATAATTAATTAAATAAAATATTAAAAAATTTAAATACTTAAATAAATTAAAAATAAAATATTAAATATAATAAAATATACCTTAAACAGTTATAAGAGAATATAAGAGTATTTGAGAGAAGTTTAGAGGATTTGGTGTGATGAAAGTGATTGAGAATGGGTGTATTTATAGGGAGGGGTGGGAACTGCCGGGGTAGGTGGGTAATTAAACTTAAGACGCGCCCCCTGAGGCGCGCCTTTCTGACGCGTGTCAGATTTAAAGGTAAAGCGCGGCTCCTGCCCCGTGCTATACCCTTACGTGGCCAGATCAGCGTATAGCGCGCTGCAGGGGCACATCTTACTGTAAAGGATGTTAGATCAAAAAAAATAATCTAAAAAGTATCTGACAGAGAAATATATAAGGTATAAGTGATATTTCGGGAAAAACAACCTATTTGAAAGCAGTACTTGAATTGAAATGAACATTATGAATGGATGTAATCCTACTTGGGGGTTACTTCATCACTGGAATTTAATGAGGTGGAAGAGGAATTAATCTTGTTGTACATGCCATGTGGATCTCATCATTCTTTTACCTTTACTTCTTGCATTGTGTCTGCTATTTTTTTTATATTTTATTTTTTAAGATTTCGAATCTTTCATACTTTTATATAATCTTTTTTAAAAATTTCTTTATCATTTCCTCTATAATTATTTGTTGAATAATTTTAATAATCTATGGATTTACAATGAAAAACGAAAATAAAATCTAAATAAGTTAAAATTCAGGATTCGATTAAATAAAATTTTTTTATCCATTTTTAATAAAAAAACACCATTCCCGAAAATATAACATGGCTTAGTCTCTAATCACCGGACATATTATACTTTATTTGGTTGAAAGTTAAGATTTTGTTATTTAATTAACATAATATAACATTATTTAAAATATAACAAAGAGGGTTAGATTATTTTTGTTATCACTCCATTTTGGTTTATTAAAATAAAGTAAATAAAAGTAAGATAAACATAAAATGAAAAAATATATTATTAATCATCAGTTTGATCTAATAAGAAAAACATTAAATCATTTAAATAACGTTAAAAACTTAAATTTTAATTTTGTGAATGAAACAAATTAAATCGAAAAAATTATCTCATAATTAGTCGACTTAAATTAATAAATCAGATATTTACTATTTAAAAAAATATTGTCATTGTTTAACCAAATGCCGCTCTGAGGTAAAATGGGTAGAATAGTCATTTCACCCGTTCCATCTCCGTATATATATATATATATATGTACGCTTCAGCTGGACTCGTACTTTTCAATATCCTAAAACCCCTCTTCAAGAAAGATTCAGAATCTCCGTGCAATTGCAATTCGTAAGTTAATTAATAACATTCTTTATCTGTTGTCAAGATTTGTAATTTTATAACAATCTTTTGATTCTCCATTTTCTGTACCTTAACAGAATTAGGGTTTATTATTAATGTTGATTTTCTGTTTTCAGCAAGAAGAAATGGCAACCGAACAACCAAGATCGGCAACTGAAGACGCAAAGATTGATTTGTTTGAAGATGATGATGAGTTTGAAGAATTTGAGATCAATGAAGGTAGAAAGAGAAATCTGGGTTTGATTTTAGGCTTGCTAACTGCTAAAATATTTATGAAAGTGTTGATGTCCAATGCTTCATTCTTTCACTTGTTGGATTATGAAAAAAAATTATATTTTAACACACTAAAAATTTATAATCTATTTTTTCCCTGCCAAAATAAAATTACTGCTTTGGTCCGGTTTATTAGAATTTTTACACTTCTGGATGTAATTTGATTGGATTTTTTTAGCATAATATATTAATGTTAATGGATGGAGTTTATACTGCAGCAATACTTGTTGGAGCTCAGTAGGTTGTCTTTTGTTGCAAATAGCATTTGAAATGATATAAATGTTAAATTGAATGTGTTCAATTCTTGGTTGCAGATTCGGTTGCAAATCCATTTATATTTATTTTTTATCATGTATGGTAGGCTTTGTTTCTCTTGATATATGATACATATAAGCTGCTTGAGCTCATTTAGTGAATTAGTGGTCACTACTAGTATCATTGCAATGCTTGTTTATGCAATTGAACTCCCACTTTTGTTCTGGATAATATACTCTTGTGATTCTTGTTTAAAACCCACATAACCAATTCTTGAATCATCAAGCTCCCTCGTCGCCACAAGTATTGTCTCTAATAATTTTCTTAACCAGCCCCGAGCTGCTTTGACCTATTTTCATCTTAATGACTATGGTAGCATATGCGACTCACAAGACTTGTGATACCACCTTATAGCCGTAGAATCCTTCCGTGAGCCAGACTTTGAAATTTACTTATTATTGAGAACTGCATTGATTGTTTCCAGTTAGGTATACAAATAAAACATCTCTTGGTTTTAAGAGTTTTCCCCATAATCAGATTACAATTCACAAACAAGTAGTACGAACAGCACTGGTTGCATAATTGTATGCTGTTGCCTTCAATAATGATAATTAATGTTCATGTAATAAATTTTAAATACGCATAGTAATTTGTCTGCCGTAGTCCCTTAAGATAATTTTTTGTTCTTCTGGAGTGTATTGTCGGTTCCTTTTCTAAATTACCGCATGTTTCCTTTTGAAAGCGGTGTCTGAGAGTATTGCAATCCGAACCTTTTTTTTTCCTTTTATTTTCTGGCAGAGTGGGAGGAAAAAGAAGGAAAAGAGGTGACACAGCAGTGGGAAGATGATTGGGATGATGATGATGCGACTGATGATTTCTCACTACAACTGAGGAGGGAACTTGAGAAGAACACTGAGAAGAACTAAGCTGGACTTTACTTTCTCCGTTTTCTCACGTCAGTCCTCTCCAATGAACTCTTGTCCGATTCAGTTTCTTTTCTGCGAAATAGAATGAACTAATGAACGTATAACTCTCTATACTTGGATGTCTGTCTTGTGATGACTTGAAATGCAGAAACTGGTTTTATGTTTCTCTGAAATATAGATATTGTTTTAGCTTCTCTGGATGATTATTTTCAGTTGAACTCGATTTTGGGGTATTTTTGTTGAACTGTAAGCTGTTGAGCTATTAAGGCTTATACAATAAATCGATCCTATCGAATTAGATGATAATTAAGTAAGTTTGAGTGAATTGTAGGTCTCAACTGAATAAATTTATGATTAGATAAACCCTTAAAATTGAAGAAATCCATCAGCTTTTAGGTTTCACAACTTTCTGTATTTTCAACCCAACCAACATAAAATGAAGTTTTGAAGAAACCTAAACTACTAATTAAATTGTATTCAGAATGTACCAAACTAATTGGTTGGGAGAGAACAAAACAATTTGAACATTATGGCATAGCAAAATCTATGTAGGTAGGGGTGAATAAACTCGTCTCGAAAAAACCGTACTTTGTAACTCAACTCGATGCTAAAAACCTCGACTCGAATCGTTATTTCATAAACTCGACTTAAAAAATTCAAATTCGAGTTGAGTTATAAAATATAATTCGAATAATACGAAATTTTTAGTGATTAATATATTGGCTTTCAGGTTCGAGTTGAGTCCCTCAACTCTGTATGATATATGTATATCGCATATGAAGAAATATATATGTATATCGTATATGGTTATAGAAAATCATTTAAATTGTTCCATAACATTACAAATATTTACAATTAAATTTAAATTTTTTTTGAACAATTTGACTCGACTCAATTCGAGTTATAAATTAAGACTTGTCGACTTGAATAATTCGAAATTTTTTGGCTTGGCTCGATTATATACTCACACTTAACTCTAGGTTCCAAATCTAAAATAATGTTATTCGCACTCTCCTGCCGTTGGTAACACCAACTCATCTGCTTTTCGGACTCATCCTTTGTTTGTTCTCTCCATAATTTATTTATTTGTTTAATGTTAAGTTTTTATTGTATCTCAATATCCAATAATTTGACAAATTTGTTCATTGTACATTTTGATAATTACAATTTTGACATTTCAGATCAGTTTTGTGACAGTACTAGAAAAGTTATGGCTGAGAAAGTTATATTATTTGTGATTACCTCCTTTTTGTGTGAACGTGTTGGCGTTGAAATGACAGCAAAAGTTAGATCAGATGAAACATGAAGCTCTTCATCTAAATTGACGAGGAAGATAATGTCAAATATAAATTTTTCAGTGGACTTGTTTGAAAAATCCAATGTTTTCAGTATAGCAATCAGAGATGCTGGACCCTTTATTTTAACAAGATCTAGAAATCACCATTAAAAATTCCACATATATGAAGAATAAAATGAAGAAAATGAATCGTTTGACGAACAATACAATTTGTCTTTATCTTTCCAAGGAAGTGAAGTAAGACTACAAGAACAAGAGTTTTACATGTGAAAGTATTGGGGCAAAATTTCCTGAAGAAAAGCTTTTATAATCTTCTCCCGATGAAGAAAGGTTGATTTAATTATCAATCAAACATCAACATAACGCATCATTACCTTTAATGAGTTAGTGGAAGATTTGACGGACATGGATGAAACTTTTCAAGATGAAGATTTAATTTTAGTATTGAAAAAAAATTAATCTTTTCCCGACAAAACTAATTTGGTGATTAATCGAATTAATTCAATTCGATCCATTAATTTGGTTAAAACCAAAAAATAAACGCACCCTAACCTGACCTATTACAAGTCCCAACCCAGTTACACCTATGCAACTTGATTTGTTCAAGCATCGGAATAGTAGATCCGACCAAAATGAACCCCAACAGTTCACCCAACCCCTCAACATCAGTAAGTTTACCAGTCAAACAACAAGCCCAACGGTAGCCAGTAGAATAGTCAACCAGTAGCTGAATAGATGACTTCACAGCAACAACGACAACTAGTCCAGGGTGGATATACATGGCTTCCTAGGGGAGCCACAACATACTCATTCTTTTGAGAAAATTGTTAAATTTAGTTTAATTTGATAATGGGAATAGAAAAAAAAGGAATTTTCATACCCAAATTTTTTAGAATAGGATATTAAAATTTTGAACCTCATTATTTAATTTCTAGATCCGCCACTACGACTAGTGACGTCGGTCGTCCTTCCTCATGTGCAACCACGATTCACCTACAAAAATAATAGTTAAAAATTAGCTGACCCTATTCCCATATGTAATGGGATGAGGGGGAGGTAAGGCAGTAGGCTGCCCCCAACGCCAGGTTGAGAGCAGCTTCCGTGGAAGACCTCCTGCAGTCAGAATTATGAATTGCCCACCGTGGGACTCGATCCCACGACCACAAGGTTAAGAGCCTTGCGCTCTACAAAAATAATAGTTAGACATAAGCAAAAATAGAAAAAGGCTTGATTTCCGATGATCCATGAGGCATTCAGGAGATCCCAACGGTGTGGATGCTCCTCCCGTCTCCAGGAATCACATATAGCCCGAAGACAGTGTCATCGGACGACTCACGTTGATGATCAGAGAGAAAAGAGGCAAGAAGAACCGAACAATATTTGATAAATCTATGGTGATAGGGGATGTTTTGGGGAAAATGAACCCCAAAATAATGCTTAGGGGACCTTAAAGGTCCAACCTTGAAGTTATGATTGAGGATGGCCACCGACGACGATGATTGATGTGACGATCATCGGTGACCAATGACTGGCCGACGAGATAAGTGATGAGAGTGTTGTAGATAATTTCGATGAAGGGAAAAAAGAAAAATGGAGAAAAAAGAAGAAAGAGAAAGTGAGATTTTATACCCAAATGAAAACGATGTAGTTTTGAGTGTGGGTGGCCCGCGTATCAACCTGACCTAACATGGAGGATTCAATTGTTCCTCTAGTTTGCAATTTAGTTATTAATTGTGGCCCAACAGTTTCAATTATTCCAATTCAATCCCTAAGTTCATTAATTAGATATTAAATTGGACATAACAGCTTTTAATTCCATTGATTAGTCCTATGAAATTATTAATGAATTATTTTTATCTCAAGGAAAATTATTTAGGATCGTGTTTGTGATTTGGACCACCGCTCTTCATGAGAAATATGGTAGAAGCTCGGGTTTAAAGGTAGTAAGCTCAAATTCAAGAAATTAAAGTTAGTACAACTAGAATTCTGAAATGTTTCACGACTTTCAAAATTATGATGGTTCACATGTCATGTTTGGATGTTGAATTAAGCATTTAAGTAGAAATACTAAAAATTATTAGATTGTCCCTAGTTACGAATAATGATTATTAATGATAAAAAATGAATACGAAAGCATAGAACTTTAAGAGAATACCAGAAGCCTTTAGTATTTATGAGTTAAGCCTTAGTAAAAAATTACCGTCGAGAATATGTAAAGACTATCTCATTATGTTGAAAGTTGAAATGCTGTCAAATTTTATGTTAAGGTTCAATAGTTTTAGGTTATTCAACTACTAATTCCTCTTCTTCGTCAGAGATTTAAAGAGTATTTTGTGTTGAACAAAGTATTAGAAAAATGAAAACTTGTGCGTATAAAAAATATGAGAAGAAAAGTAGAATCAATTTGGCCACAAGGATCAATAACGTCAATGATGAAATTGTTTCTTCATAGTTTTTTAATGTTGATGATAAGTATAAAAAAGAAACTAGAACTCCATAGAGATTAAATGAGAGTAATGTGTTATATGTGGCTAAAAATAAAAATAAAATATCATTGATGATTTATATCATGTTGTACGTGATATTTCTCAGTGATATAGTTGTGAGCAAAGCTAGAATATATGATGATCTCATCGGTATAAAAAATAAGTTATTTTACACATCCATGCTTGAGCTTGACTCGAACATGGTTGACATACTTTATTGATTAGTAACTTTAAGGGATTTCTTGGAAGAAGATGAGATTATATGTTGAACTATATTTTGATATAACAATTTAAGGCAAAATATTTTTGGACTTGAATTGAATTTATTCAAAAGTTTTCAAAGTTTTCAAAAATAATTCAAAGTCCTTAAAAGTGGAATTGAGCACAAAATACGCTTTTGTACGAGTAGAAACCGATACTGTTCTTACAGTATCGGTACTGTTATCGATACCTCATGAACAGTACCAATACTGTTCATATGGTACCGATACCAAAGGTAAAGGAAGTATCGATACTCACTAGGAAGTACCGATACTACCAGCGTTGCTCAAATTCCAGAATGCAAAAATGGTACCGATACCCAAAGGGGTACCAATATTCTGTATAGTAGTATCAATACCATTGCCATAGTATCGATACCATCAAGCCCTAATGGCTAATAACGACTAGTTGATTTAAATATAAACAAAGGTAGTATCGATACTCCCTTTAGGAGTACCGATACCCCTTGATCTGGGCAACTTTATTTTGCACAAAAATTGATCCCCAATGGCTCCAAAACACCTCCAACGGCTAGAAATGACCACAACAACATTCCAACACATAAATACAAGTTCAAGACACTTGAAGAAGGGTGAGAACACCTATCCAAGCAATCAAACACAAGAGAAGAGTTTTTCAATCTTATTTTTATCTCTCTTGTAAATATTTGTTCTTGTGAGCTAAATTTTGTAACCACCTTCCTTTTTAGAGGTTTTATTTGGTTACATTCTTTTTCCTTGTAAAGAGTTTTTGGTTTTAGCTGAGCCTGTTAAAAGGTAAGGAGTTGTGTAAAGGATATATCTTTGTCCTTGAAAAAGAAACAACAAATTAGTAAATTTGTTAGAAAATCCTTAGTGAAGAGCTAAGGTAGTGGATGTAGACTTGGTTGATAAGTCGAACCACTATAAATCTTTGTGTCAAATTTCTCTATTTTTGCTCTCCTTACTCCCTAACCTAAATATTGCTAATTCACCCCTTTGCACATTTTTTCGGTTGTTCAATTGAGCCTCTTCGATCTTAACATTATGTTTTCATCAAGATTGAGATTTTTTTCGACTCACTTTGTACTTTTAGAATTCGTGTCAAGACAGAACTTGTTAGGCTTTGATCCAGATTTCGTTCAAACATGACTATACTTCTTGTATTAG